GCCTGTCTCTGGACAGAGCTAGATCGCCGCAAGACAGCGTCATTTACGGGCCTGATGTGCAGTTCATGACACCGTTCGAAATCAACACCACCGGAATCTTCGATGAGAATGATTTAGCTGCGGAGAGCAAGAGGTGTGCAGTCTTTTCCTCGCAACATTTCAATAATGTCTTGTACGACCAGCCTCTTGGCTCACGGGCATGGGCGCTGCAAGAGAGAATGCTCCCCCCACGCGTACTAGGGTTTGGCGAGGGTGAACTCTTTTGGAGCTGCAGACAGATCCCGCACGCATGCGAATCGTTGCCGTCGGGTACAGCATCACTCCCAGATCGCAGCCTGGGTCTCCGATCTTCCTTCGTCCCTATCACGTCTGACTCGGCCAATTTGTATGACACCTGGTTCGGACTAGTAATGGACTATTCTGGGCGAAGGCTTACGTGCCCGGAGAAGGATAAGCTGGTGGCGATGTCGGCAGTGGCTTCGCTGATGGAAACGGCAACAAAGGACAAGTGTATTGTGGGCCACTTTTGGAAGTCAATTCCGTTCAGTCTCATGTGGGACGGTTTCGGGACGCCTTTCCATGGCAGTGACGAGAGCTTGGAGATCAGAAAGAGGCTCCGCATTCCGAGCTGGAGTTGGGCTTCTGAGCATCGCACAGTCTTGTCCACAGATGCGTTTTGGGCTTATAAATACTCGCATGCGCCTTTGGCCAGTGCAGATGGGTTTTTCGAGCCGCTCCAAAATGTAGCTGAGGGCCACATATTGCCATCGTTATTGCTCGAGCTCAGTGTCTTTCATATCAGGGGCACGATCATATGTCGACCTGAAAGCAATGAACCACAAGACTGCGATCATACGTTTATCATCGATCACTCCGATGACCTGGTCCGCAATGTTCTTGACTGTGCCGTATCCCTGGACCGTAATGGTGGGGCAGACGCTAAGGCGGTGTTCTGTCCAATGTCTCTCGCACGCTGGGGTGACGAGAGCGAGTATGCTCATGGGCTGTTTCAAGTGGAAACGGACTCGGCAGTAGATGGTCGAAAGGTGTATGAGAGGATTGCGTCGGGGTACATCAAACTCAAGCCGGGATTGTCGTGGGATGGAGAAATGAAAGGCGCTGGACTAGAACGGTCTCCTATCTTGCTAGGCTGAGCTCTCAATTCAGGAAAGCTTCACTCGCTTCCAAGCGAGAAAACAGTCAATATATAGCATTCGAGAGCAAAAGGCGGACAGCAAGACTTAAGAAGGCGTGTTGTCAGTAACAAGACCACTGCAACTGCTCTGGCTGGTTTGCACTGCTTAATGGCAAATGTTGAAGGACCTAGGAACCTTTAAAATGTAATGACCATTATCCTGTTCTCATAAGTACTAATTTTCTGTACCCTTCGTTATCTCCTCATACAGCGCGCCGACGGTAGCAAAAGCAAGGAGCTGAAACCCTATGCATAAGAAAAAGGAGAAGAGATCGAGGACGTGTGTTTCGAACATCCGAACTACAAAAAGGGTCTGCGAGAGTGTCGCGTGACTTGGGCAGTAAAGGTGGCCGGCCGGCCTTAAACCACTGAGCCAAACTTACTCGATCTACGACCGGAAACCTCGTGACGGAAGGGCCGAGGCAACTGCCATAAGTAGGTGCCTTCCGCGTGAGGTGAGGTCACCTAAAGTCTCAGGTAGGGATACAGAGCCTTTAGCTATCCCAGCCACGCATTAAGTAAAGTACCGATGATTCTTAGATCGAACCGTTTCATGAAGCTAAGGATCTCCCGATCTGATTTGTCGCGGGTTCGTTCTTAGATCAGCCCAGACAGAGGAGATGCGGAGGCCATCTGGAAGCTGGCTCATCAGCCGTTCGCCAGTCACAGGCTGCCCATCGTAATTGCCATGTTTGTCTATTCCCATTTCTCAGCCTGTGGTATGAGCACGACTTGGTACTAGATCAGGTTGCATGGTTCCTTACTCCAATACCAGGTGAACAACGCTGTGCCTGCCTTTCCTGTCCGTATACAGCCATGGGTTGAGTTGGGAATGGCCTCGCAGTCTCCAAATTTACCCAGTGCGTGCTTAGATCTATCTTGACAGGAACTACCTTGAAAATCTCATGGCAGGGTCGATTTATCATTTGGGTGCCTTTGAGTAGGGATACCAGAGGCATGCTAAAATCAAGTTCTCTGGATGAGGACTCTCGCCTGATTGCCACATTAGAAAGCCCCCTGAGTTGAGATTTATTTGCTTCTTTGATAGAAGGTGCGCTGAAGATCGGGCCCCTAGTGCTGCTAGCCGTTGTTCCTTCTCTTGCTCCTCTGACGCATCTGCCCCAGGCTCTGCGTCTTCGTCCGTCGTCTCGCACATCCGTCACCTTCTCGGAGGATAAATATCCCCACCCTCCACCCCAGATCTTCTGACTCTTTCTCTCCTCCACCACAATTCAACAACTTTCACTTTCACATCTTATCACAACAACAACAATGGGTCTTCAGCCCTTAGTGGCAGGCCACTTGAGCATCCTTCTTTCATCACATCTTTTGCCTTGAAGCCTGGAAGGAAAGCAATGTTTCAGTCTTTTGGATTATTGTTCTGAAGCTGTGAGTATTCGTTATTTCCTGTTTTCTTCCCAGCTATCCACCCCTCTCCCAAATTTCATCAGCAGTCTTGGTGGATGGCTTCATTTCCTTTGTCATTCCCCTCGTTCCTGCCATTGGTATAAGTTGTCCCAGAGGCCAAAATCTCTTCACACTTTTCACCACCCAAGCCCAATTTTCCTCGCTTTCTCCGTTCAAGTTGTCGATTTTACCAGGTGTCACATGCCCAGCACCGCTCCTGCCCCCGCTGCTCTTTTTCCTTTCAGCTGGTCTGGTGCCTTCGGTCCCAAAGTCCAGAGCGAGATCAGGCGGTCAAAGGCCGTCTGATCACGTGGAGCCCGTCGTCCTCCCCTCGCACGGAGCAAACCAAAATTTCCTGCCTCTTCCGCTCCCTTGATACTCCAGCCAAGTCAGACCACCATATCTGGGAAACCTCCCAGTACTGCCTCGAAGCACGAGAAGAGTATTTTCAGCCAGGCTTTGTCATGATGATCCCCCGATCTAATTTCCTACACGGGCTTTCTTTTGGGACGTCTGAAACGTCTGCTATGGCCCAAACACCGCGGGAAAGTACAGTGCGCTCAGCCTCGGGGTAAGTCTCATCAGCCTCAGCATTCGCAACACCATTCTAATATTCTGCTCCAAGGCAGTCCAAATGGAGATTTCTACTCGTGCTTCTGCTCCGTCGGCAACATTCTGGGCTTCTGGCAAGTGCCAGACCCGTCGGCTTACTTTTGCCTCATTTTTCAGCTCATACTCTTTCGAGTGATCCTTTGCTGACTTTTGAAATTGCTCAGGCTCTCGAATACCTTATTTGACGGCGATGAGGCGGTAATCAAAAATCTCTGCGCTTTTGGCTTCCTCTTCCGAAGACAATGCCAGAAGGTCTGCATCACGATGGTGCTTTGGCTCTTTCTGGGACGGCCGTTTGAATGGCCGGGGAGGGCCAGCCTAACGAAGGCCCATTGAAGGTCCTCCCCCAGGCCTCGTCAATGGAATTGGAGTCCATTGTGACCTTCATGGAGTCATTTGACTTCAACAAGGTATGTCTCGCATCCAATTCTCTACTTTGCTTCCGATATTTGTTTGTCTCTTGGCTGTTGTGTCACCTCAAGTCTCGAGTGTGGATCTTGCCCTTGTGTCATGTGTCTTCTTTGAAAACTCAAAGCTGTCCAGATATGCTGCTCCCTTGTCTCTTGAACGATGAGTAACTTCGTCCTCCGCAGTTCGAATGAGGAAGCGCCGTCTCCGAAAACCGCGCCCTACTGCCGGGGCCCGGGCGAACAACTCCCCCTTCCAATCTCCGGCCCGGGCCTCCCGGCCTTTTCCAACTGCTCACCAAACAATTTGCGGCCAGCCTTCGGGTTGCTTACCGTTCGCCTGCCCTTTGGAAGTTTCTTTCAGTACTTTCCTCTGCAGCCTTTACGGGGCAGCGACTTGGGCTGGTTCCAAGATTACGTTCCGGGGCCGCCGGCCGGCTCAGACATGCTCACGCCAATTTATGGCGGTGGCCGCGACCTCTCTGTCCAGACTACACAGGAGGCCGGCCACCGTCGAGATTCGAAAACTTCTTTCGGTTGTTTGGAGCAATTTGAGCCCTTGCTCAATTTTTTTGGTTCAAAATTGATGGCCGGTTCTGCCGTCTCTCGAGATTACTTATGGGAGAGCGGACGGGATCCCGAGTTTTCCAATGGGTATGGTCGTATGTACTTCTCCTTGCATACGCTACTTTGTTACATGCTTTACTGGCGCCCCGACCGGGGGCCAGTCTCAATTTTTCTGCTTGTAAGTGCTAACTCCCCGCAACCTCGCGAGACGAGAGATGCTGACTTGACGTCATGGGCAGTTTCAATTATTGAGGCGAAGGCCTTTCGTCAATTTTAAGGCCGGCGGTCGGTGAGTCCGTGCTCTTGATAGCATCCCGGCCGCCGGACCTTTTTCAACGCTTTGGTTGTGAGTTTCCTCCGCACCCAACTTGCGCCGCAGTGGAGCATACTGACTCCCTTCACCCCCAAGAATTTTGAACTGTTGTTCAAATTCTTAGTTCAAATTTGATGGCTAAATTTGATGGCCGGCGGTCGGTGACTCGTTGCTCACCGAAGCATCCCGGCCGCCGGGCCTCTCCCAAACTTGCCTTTGGTCAGTGGCCCCCTTCGCTCAACATCACAGAGGCAGACGCTGACTCTGGCGACTGAACAGGAAAAATGTGAACTTTGAAAAGTTCAAAGTATTGTTCTGGCTGCCAATATTTGCGGCAGTTGGGTTACCCCCCAAAGCAAGAAGACACGAGCTATTCCTGATTCATTGCGGCGGGGGGGTCCAACTGCCAGAACAAGTCTTTTCCGGCGGCGGTTTCCGCCGATTCGAGCTCCTGTCCCATGTCTTCAGAGCCCGACTGGGTCTACAGCTCTGGGATCTCATGGCCTCACACATTATTCTCGAGACCTACTTTGACGAACACGAGACGGAGGAGGGACTTTGCATCTTCCAATACATCCATGACCTCCAACCTGCGGCATCAACAGATTTGGTCCGCGATCCTGACCACAGCTTATTGCAAGTTCGGAATTCACAACTCCTTTGCCTCAATTGTTTCTGGCGCGCCACTGTTCTTCCAATCCTCTCCTTACCGCAGAGGGCTATCCGCTATTGCAAGATCATTGTGTTTGGTAAGCATTCTGTTTGCCCGTTGATTGTGACGTTGCGTTGCTAACCAGTCGCAGTGAAGGCGCCTGAAAACCTCTGATTGCCAATGATGGTCCAGAAATTGATCTCTTCGGGGTATTGTGTCAACACTTGATTATCATTTTGACACGGTGGCCTCGATCTCGCCTACTTACTAGTTCTGCGACCCTTCGAATCAAGATCACGTTGTTTGGTAAGCTCTAGACAACCTTTGCTCGATGCTGGCTAGCCTGACTAACCAAATTTTGCCCAGGACCTCGCTTGCAACATGTCGAATACGTCATCGAGATCAATTGGGTTCGTCCGTAAAATGAGCAATTCCGACGGATAGGCCAGGCCTGAAAAGCGAAGACACCTGTGTTTCTTCTACAATGTATCCTCTTACCAAGTGGGCAGTGAAACTTCTTCAACATATCTTGTGGTTTAAGCGAGTTGTCGAAGGAATCAGCATGCAGGGGCAAGGGAGGAGCGAGACTTATTGACTGTGGTATGACTCTGACGGAGACATTTGTGTCTACAGGCGATCGTTTGATGAAGTAAAGTATGAGGAAGCTGGAAGGAAAAAGGAACAGAGAGATTTGGCTACGGAAGGGAGGATTTGTGGCAGAGTCAGGATGGATCGATGTTTACTTGACCGGAGCAATACTCAGAACACATGAGATTTCTTTCATACCAGAACAAAGCTATGTTACCGTTGCATTTCACCGAACGAAACGAGTTAAGAGAAGCTTACACTTGACTGCTCGCATGTCTCCTAATCCACCGCGACCCCATGTCCCTACTTCCTTTCCATCACCTGAACCCACATGTCGCTGATGAAGAACAGACCCATCGCATTATATGCCTTCCAAGGACGCGCCGGATCCATTGGCGCCAGCTCAAAATTGCGAAATAGCTGTGCCGTGAAGTCAGTTAAGCGTCCGCTGGCTCCTTTGCGTAGACTCACCTCGAATATTGTCTTCGCAAGCTCAATCTGAGCAACAGGTTTGCCCAGACACAAGAACTTCCCGTATCCAAACACCAGATCGTTGACGCTCTTCATAGCAGCCAGCTTCCCCTCGTCCTCCTCGAACCACCTCTCCGGCCGGAAAGTCTTCGCGTCCTCCCCGTAAGTTTCCTTGCTGTGGTGCATCGCATACGCAGAGTACCCGATACAAGCTCCTCCCGATAGATACACACTCTCCCCGCCCACGTTGACCGTATCGCCCCCAGCCGGCACGTCTCTCCCAAAGATATTTACCACCGGTGTCTTCACCCTCAGCGCCTCACGAATCACAGCCTGCAGATACGGCAACCGCCTCGTCTGCTCCAACGAAACCAGCCCCTCCCCCTTCGCCGGCGCAAGCCCATCCCTTACCGCATCGTCAATCTCCCGCTGCAACTTCGCATACACCCTCGCATTCGTCATAATCAACAACAACGTCCCGCGAATCGCCGCTGCCGTCGTATCAGACCCGGCAATGATCTGCTCCAACGCCTCGCTCCGCAGCTCGTCCCCGCTCAGCCCGTGCCGGATGAACGACGCCAGCATGTCCGACTTCTTGTCCGTCTCTCGCGCCGCGCGCGCGTCCACGTCGCGGTAGCACGCCGCGATCATCCGCCCGAAGCCGTTGTCGTCGGTCGGCGAGGGCGCGAGAAAGCGCCCGATCACGGGGGCTTGCGCGAGCCAGCTGAGCCCGAAGGCGAGGGCGAAGCTGGCGGCGGTGAGGCCCTGCTCGGCGGACTGGAGGTAGCCGTCGACATCGGCGTCGGCGGTGAGCATGCCGAAGGTCTTGCCGAGGCCGACGTCGGAGATGACGTCGAGGGTGAAGTATTGGACTTTCTTGGCGAGGTCCATGGGGATGATGCGGGATTCGGTGGAGAGGTACTTTGTGCGGATGAGGGTCAGCAGGTCGTTTAGGCGCGCGTCGATGGTGGGTTCGAGGTCGAGGTTCTCGCGGCCGGAGTACTGTGTTCGTCAGTGGTTGAGACAAGTAGGATTGAGGGGGAGGATGTGTACGCCTGGGGCCATTTGCTTCCTGCGAGCATCGTGCTTTGCGTTGTCTGTCTGCGTGAAGACATTGTCGCGACGGTATTCCACGCGGCAGGCGTGGTAGTACCAGTCGGTGCGCTTGTAGGCTGGATTCCTGTTCACGTGTGTCCAGAGGTCTGGAGAGGATGTGACGAGGATGCCTGGAGCGATGCGGACGATTGGGCCTGACGTCGGTTAGTAGATATCGTGATGAAGGTGATCGATTGTTGCGAACCGTATTTCTCGCTCAGCTCAGCATACCACTCATGAACCCTCGGGCCCATAATGTGTTTGCTGTGAGGAGAGCTACTGAGACCTGTCCACCATGGCCCTGGGATGTGCCTGAACTTGAAGTACACGACGAGTCGGTCGATGATGAAGTAGAGGCAGATCACTCCGCCAAGAACTGGCAGGGTCGCCCAGCTGGAAACCGTGCTAAGGAGGCCCATCTTGAACAATGACGATCAGAAGGGACAGCTTTCGCTGGGCGCAGCGTAGGTAGGATCTGGCGCCCTCGCCCTTCTTAAATATCCATGACTACGCTCCCCGCATTGCTGCAGATACTGAGCAACAGATATGCAGCCAGGGGTTCGCGAAGTCGCCCACCAATCAAGACTGGAGCAAACATCAGCAGCCAGCTTCGGCATGCTCCCCTTTGGCGGGCCGGATCCTACGTTGACGGATATGCAGGTGATGCATTAGTCTCAATCTTTTCTTAGGCGCTTCCAATCAGGCGTGACCAAGAGGACAGGGTTTAGATCCTACAAATTAAGCGATCCGTGGAGTGCGAAGAAGTTGGTTGGTCATGATCTGCGGTGTCAATATCGAGGAGAAGATGGCAGTAAATGGTTCGTCCAGGTAGACCTTCGGTAAGCCAAACTGTCACAATGCGTGGCAACAAGCTACCCCGCGATGTTCAAGGCGTCGGAGACCACTGAGTTTGCGTACGTTGGGTCATGGAAAGGTTGTCTGCAGCATGGGAGATCGCACCTTTGTCGGCTTGCCAGAGAATTCAGATGCTGGTTGAAGGAAAGAAGGTATCATAGACCTTCCCAGAGGATGTCACGTCGCAGGCGCAGTTGATTCAGTCCCAGCAAGCACCCTCTTTCTGAGTAATGATGCCGGACTCCATCAGCGAGGAGATTGCCATGTTTGACCTCAACATTCACCGACATGGGTGGTTCAGCGTTTAAGCGGTTGTCCTGAGCCTCCAGTGTCCTGCAACAACACCTTTGTTGGCTGAAAGATCTCAGCTGCCCTTGTAGTCGGCATCAGTACTTCTACAAGTATCCCGTCTCGACCTCGGGTCGGTACGTACTTCCAACGGGAACGGCAGCAAGACAAGACTGATCCCATCACCACCCATCGCCTACGCGCTTCTTCGTCCAAGAAGCCTGCCCAAAGCCGGGAGACAAGTGGGAGCTCCAAGCTCGCTTGTCAAAGAGGTAAAAGACAGCCGTGGGATCAAAATACTGCAGACTGATCCTGATTGTCTAGTGGCTGCCCCGGTCAAGAGAAGACCAGCTCGATGTACGTACTCAGGACCAACCTTCAAGCTTGCCCCTGATTGGCCGAATCGGCATCACCACCACCTCACCTTCGCATTCACCACGACCTGAGGCGGTCGACACACGTGACTGACTGCCCTGACAACGACCAAACAGGAAATCGCAACTTCACCTCTGCTCGATCTGATGTCGGTGCCCCCAATCAGCCAGACGGCCACCCTCAGTCTGATCTTTTTAAAACCCCTCCCTCTCTTCTTCCCTCCCAACTTCTTCCTCCCCACAACCACACATCAAACTTGTTTCGCAAACCATCACAACCACCTCTACCCTCCGTCTCCTACCTCTCTCTTCATCCTCTACCTTTCTCACTCCTCCATCACCTCTTCGTCGCCGTCAAGATGAAGTTCACCTCCACCATCGCCTCCCTCATCCTCGCCTTCGCGGCTGGCACCACCTCCGCTGCCCCCTTCCCCGGCGGCAACATTGAGCTCCTCGACGTCTCCAAGCCTCAGGGCGGCAACGTTGAAGTCATGGACCTGTCCAAGCCCCAGGGTGGCAACGTTGAGGTCATGGACGTTTCCAAGCCCAAGGGCGGCAATGTCGAAGTCATGGACGTCTCCAAGCCCAAGGGCGGCAACGTCGAAGTCATGGACGTCTCCAAGCCCAAGGGCGGCAACGTCGAAGTCATGGATCTTTCCAAGCCTCAGGGTGGAAATATCGAGGTCCTCGGCGCCTTCGCCAAGGTCTGCCGCGACATCATGCTCACCAACCGCATCGTCAACGGCAAGCCTGTCTACTCGGTTCGCGCCATCTGCCCCGACTGGATGGATCAGAACTTCAAGACCGAGCTGCAGCTCAACCGCTGCCTGATGAACGATTTTGGCCACCTCAAGTGGGCCAACCTGTGAGTACACTCCATTCCCTTCTCGCTTTTTGCAACATCACTAACTTTGATTCTTCTGCAGTGGTCACTTTGACGACTCTTGCTACGACTGCAAGCTTCTCTCTGCCACTGACGATGTCAAGATGGCCTGCACCTGCGCTGTCGGCGCCAAGGGCACCATTGGCACCACCATTGCTCTCAGTATGTCTTCTCCCACCCTCGCGCCTGACTTCACGGATTTGTGCTGACTTTTATTGCAGACGAGGGCATCCGCAACCAGGGCGGCGCCATGTGGTGTGGCACCCAGATCGGCACCCGCGTCCCTGCCTGAATGTCACAACTTCACATCTTGGTTCTTTTTGGGCGGATTCACTTCTTGTGGGGATTGAGACTGGAATTGGAATTTGGGGGATGTACTACTTTGAGATTGGCTTTCTTCGGAATTTCGGGCATGTCGTAGCGTGGAGTTTGGTAAGGAAGGAAAATACCCTCGGAGCCTGGCTTTCAAGGACCAGGCTTTCTACATTGGCTGAAAAGCGCATAGACTTCTGATAAGCAGAAAAAAGACGTCCTTTTCTCCGCAAATTTCTGCTTTCCTTGCTTCTATTGGTGATTTGTTGTTTTGTTGTGATGGCTTTGACTGTGGAGCAAGACTGTGCCTTCCCCCTGACACCCTAAAGTAAGGTATTTACTGAGGATGCAACAGCTTACTTCGCCTGCCGTTCTCTGCCCTTGCTGGAAGGCAGAAGACTAATGGGTGTGGTATTCACTTGTCATGTGAAAGGCGATGTGATTCTGTGATGTGGTGAAGAAGGGCCCCAGCTGGAAGGTGCGAAAGCGGTCGGTACAAGGACGTCCTTTAGAGGCCTTCCTAGACCAGTCAATGGCAGCAAGTCCAGGAATATCAAGATGTAAGGTTTCAATCAAGCATGAATCAAGGTCATCATGAGGAGAGGTGTGAGATGTGGTGGGCTTATGGGGACACAGTCCGGCAAGCAACAGTGCTGTTTATACGGACGCTGTGGTTGGATGCTGTGGGATTGGCGAGGAGTCAGAACGTCTTTAAGTGCTTCAGGTACTGCCATGATACACCAGGAAGTCGAGGGCACTGTCTGGAAAAATCATGTGTTGCAACTTGGTGCCTGGCACGCTCATCAGCTTCGCCCCCAGAGGCAAAGTGCCAGATGCTGCTCTCCTGGCATTAGTCCTCTTCATTCCAGGGTCTTGGGGTCTTTGAGACTACAGGTGGTTTTGTAATGGGCAAAAATCGGCAATAATATGATTGGCTTTGTGGCCTTCGTTTGTGTTGTGGTCTTGCTCTTTCGAATTTTGGATCTGGGTCGCTTTGGTCCGGCCACCCCCTTCTCCAGTCACGTGCCTCACGCTGCAGAGATTTCTCCTCTGCTGTTCGTTCCTTCCCAAGAGTTGAGAGTGGGAGCGGTCTTGAAAACTTTTCCGTCTCTTCCATCCGCCAGTTATTCCACCTTCCCACCACTCCAGCCCGAGGTCTCCCACCCTCCTCCTCCTCCACTATCACCACCACCATCACCCACGTATCCATTGCCTTCTCTTCCCCATCGACTCCTTCGCACTCGCTTGCCCATTTCTTATTTTAATTACACTGCTGTCTTCCTTCGTTGTCGATTTTCTCCCTCAACTGCAACGCTTCCCAAGACCCCCGCAAGCTGCCCATCTCCTCTCAAAACTTGAGCTCAACTTCGAGCTCCAGTCCTAAGGCCTACCAGCTGCAATCCCACATCTTCTGATACCTCAAATCCTCATTGCTTCGAGTCTCCTGGTGGGAAAATGTCTTGCTGGAATGGCACATCGTCTTGGGGATGGGCGGCCCTTCTTCCCATGATCTTGAGTCTCCTGGCAACGCTGGCTGCTGAAGGTCGGTCAACCCCGAGTTCCATCGACTTTCCATTCACGACTCTGACATTTTTCAGGACGCCCCGAAACCAGAATCTAGCATGGAAAAGTCTGTGCTGCGATTATTGCCGAAGAGCCCGATTGCACAAGGCACTGACTGGTTCGTGGGGTCATACCGATCTTCGCACCACCTCAGGCCCCGTTCCATCAGCATCCCAGCAAAGAGTCGCACGCACTTTGACTCCCGGTTAGGTTGCTTTGACATAGAAGCTCAAAGACACTCTGCTGTCTTCTTGTTTGGTTTGTTCATCCCTTGCACTTGCTATTCCCTTTGTCGGTTTGGTGACATGGCCAAATCCTGGCCTGGGAGCACCATTTTGCTATCGGAGTTGCTTGATAAATACTTCGCTAACATTCCCATGCAAGAAAGATGATTTCATTTCAAGCGCTTACAAACCCGGGAGTTCTGTCTGTTGTTGATGTCTGAAATTGCTCGAACTACCTGTTCCATTCAGATGCCACAGCCTACGGGCGAAGAGGACCAGAGGACCTGAAGCTTCCATCACTCCAAGAGCTCTGTTGGCTCTGTCATCAACTCTGCATGCTCTTGCTATCCTGTCCAAATCTTCTTGTCAAGCAGCAAACACCTTCTGCAAGTCCAATGTTGACAGCCTCGACAAGATGCACCGAAGTCGGCGCTGCCTTGACATTGACTTGAGGCTGCTGGCTCGTGTCAATAGCTCAATTCCCTCAGCAAACATCACCGGTTCAGTCTTTCTTCTACAAGGTTTCTTCTCAGCAGAATACTTGATGTATGGTTGGCGATTGATTCTAGATGTCCTCTCGCCTGCAGCTTGGTTGGTTCGACTCGTTCCATGCTCCAGAGCACCTTCATCCTCCGAGAAGTCTCAACAGCTTCGCACCTGTTGAGAACTCGCACATCCTCGCGCTCCAATGTTCTTCCAATGGCTTCCACAACTTCTCATCAACGGGGACTCGAATACTCATGTCACGAAGACGCGTTCGAGGGAAGAAGCCGCCATGTGGTCACAGGGGCCACAATGGGGGTTCGAATACTCATGTGAAGAAGAGTTCGGTGAACGAATCCAACACATGGCTCACGAGTCCACACTTCTAACCACGATGCCATCAAATGGACCGAGATCACTTCGACTATCAAGACAGTCACTCGAAGGCGAAGTCGAAAGATGGATCAGCTACTCGCTTCATCCAGCACAGCACACAACGGGGGTTCGAATACTCAAGACATCATTGGCTTCCGCCGATGGGCGGCCCTGCCCGCTGCCCTTCTAGAGCCTGAGTACCTTGTCTCAATTTGATACAATGGCGACGTCGTTTGGTACTCGCGCCCGGAATCTGAGGAGAGCCGAGACCCGCAGAAAGTTCCCAACCGCACCAACGGCGCCTACAGTGTTGTGATCTCGCCGACCTCGGAACCTACGGACATGGGTGCCGGCGGTGTTTGGAACGGCGCTCCAGTGGCATGAACTCGGCCGCCCCGGACATTTCGCTATCCATGGGAACTCTCGCCTTCTCTACACCGGAACTGTGGAGACAAACCCTGAGCCCGTACACAGCACCCAAGCTTGCTGCAAGGCTCCGGATGCTGACATGAGCATGGGAGATTACGACGCCATGGCGCCCCATGAGACCGCGGCCTCCCAGGATACTTCGGAGTATCCAACTGAAGCTGACGATGGCATGCACGACCTGCACTACCCATAGGGCCTGGCTAATGGACAGGCACTGCATTACATCGCGAAGCGCAGCTGTCAGAGCTGCGATTGGAGACATCGTCAAAGCCTTCGACTTTGTTGTCAAAGCACCGACAACGTCCCCACCTTCCTGGGGCTTGGATTCCCTTGAATCTAGGCGTTCAAATCAGTGTGACTAAGAAGAGTCCTCATGACAATGTTGAGCTCAACGACTTCTCCCAGCAGACGTTCGCGGCGGACTCCTGCGGAGCCTCCGAGGCTGGCATCCAACTCCGCCTTAATGTCAAAGATATGCACACCCGGTTGGATGATCATTGTGATTACAAAGTCAGTGCTTTGCAATTCTTTCCAAGCTTCAGGATTCATCACTGACATAATATGTGAGGAGTCAGAGGAATCATGCATGGCCTCACCATCCCGCTGCGGCGGCACGAACGCTCATGCTGTTCTTGATGAGCCATGCCGTTGCTCTTCCCCTCGTCACACCGACTGTGACACTTGGGAGGTCAAGGTAGGTGTCAGGATCACCCCCTCTGCGCCATCGTTGGCCAGCGGCGGCACGCGCGTCTTGCATAGCGAAACTGATTCGTTCCAACAGTTGTTCTGTCGAGTTGCCGCTGCGAACTACCACCCCGGAGGTTTGTCTTTGTCTTCTTCTTTTCGTTTGTTCACATTCTAAACCCAGACAGGCACTTCGCGCAAGAAGTCACTTCATAGGCACCTCAGCTACATTTGCGGGGCCCGGTGAATGGCTTATTGAGGTGTGGACTCCGGCTCAAACAAGCTTCCTTCATTTCAAACAACATGACACCAGTCCAAGACATCCCTTCCAACGGCAAGGACCTCGTCGATTCTCTCGACCGACTCAAGGTTGATGACGGCGAGCCGAGACTTGGCCGTGTGGCGACAATGGAGAAGATCGATCACAACGGTCTTGCCAACGGCAAGACCATGGGTTACAGTGTTCGGCGGGGCCTTTCTTCACTTCAAACAACAGTCCTTGGAGAATGGATAAAAGATGAGGGAGGTCAGTGGCAACGGTCTTGTCGACGGCAAGACCACGGGTTACAATGTTCGGCGGAGGTCTTTCTTCACTTAAAGCAACATGTCTCACGAATTCGTAAGTTTCAATCGTTCCGCGCGATCCATCACTCGCGTCCATGGCTACCCTTTCCGGGTCTTCCTCTGTTTCAGATCCTGGATTCATCAGCGCTGACATGATATTCAAACAGGCTCTTCAGCACACAGGACTTGGAAGTGGACTGGGGCCCGCGTCAGCCCTTTCGCCTCATGTTTCTGTGTGGCCGGCCCACGTTTGGGCAGGCAAAGATGTGCTTCCTTCTCTTCAAACAACACCATGGGAAAGAAGGTAAGGAAGACGAATCGTCCATCCCAGCGACTTGCAGACCTCATATTACACATTTCTGACGCCGGTCTTCACACAGATTCCAAGCCTTCATTAGGCTGCCCAGCAGCGCATCAAGCTGACTGACAACACCGAGATCCGTAAGTTTCCTTTCAATCGCCTTGCATGGCCTTGACTGACTTTATCTAGCTCAGCCAGTTCTCACAACCATCCTTGGCAATGACGACTTCACCGGTATGTTTCCAGCCTTGATTACGTTCGCGGGTCTCTTTGCTAACTCTTCCGAGGTAATCTGCACCGAGGTGTGCCGTGCCGTCACTGCCGACCCTTGCGAGGGGGTTCAGGTGACTGACGAGGACTTCTGGAATGACATTCATATATGGACCGTGAATATCTTCTCTCGGAGGGTCTTGGCCGACAAGACTTGCAGGGCTCTCCGGGAGATATGCGTTCCACTCCCCTTCCGCAAGGTTAGAATCTACCGCGCCGAATACCGCGCCATTCAGCCTCTCAAGGCGATGCTTCTCAATGACAGGATCGAGAGATCGAGGATTACTTCAGGACCGCAGGCGAGAACATCTACGCTGTCCAATCGCGTCGTAGCAAGGAGGCGGTCATGGGGAGGTGGTGATGATGAATACTGGTACGCGGAAACCCTTGCATGGATAAGCGATCCCGGAAATTGGAGCTATTCGGACATTCGGGGTATCAGGTCGCGAGTGAGCTGATCCCAGTCACGAAGCACGCGATGATGCATTGCGGCTCTGAGATAAGAAATAACGACCAGAGACCAGTTCATAGCATCCAACAAGGCAAATTTTGTATCGTCTGGTGATTTCACTGACCACATTGATTGAAGAGTGTCGTACGAGCAGTAAGAGAATGCCCCGCCTCAGTTGAACCAACGTGATCCCGACCAAGGATCCTCATCCGGCTGCCCGGCCACTTCCCCGCATGGGCAATCCGAGGAAGCTCGAGGGGCACCATGAACCCCCGCACGCCTGACTTTATAACCTCGAGAAGGACCAACTGGGCGGGGCTTCGTGCTGTTTGAAGTCCTGTTAGATCAGCTCATTTATCGTGTGTGTAACTGTCGTGGCACCGTAACCTTGGCCGTATCAAGCAGCATAGCCAGAATTGCTTCGAGGCGGACCTTACACCTTCACTCTCTTCTCCAAACACCAAGCACCATGAGCGCGTTCGTGGGAGCATTCAGACCATCTGCTCGTCTAGGGTACGCATCTTCCCCTCCCCCTCAATGACCTCCAGCCATTAACAGCCGCAGCGGACGCGTCGCCATCGTGACAGGTGCCTCGCGCGGCATCGGTAAAGCCATCGCCCTCCGCATCGCCCGCGATGGCTACGATGTTTGCATCAATGACATCGCCGCCAACCAAGCCGGCTCCGAGGAAGCGGCCAACGAGATCCGGGGCCTTGGCCGCAAGTCCGTCGTCGCATCCGCCGACGTCCGCAGTCTCAGTGAGGTCCAGGGAATGGTCCAGACGGCAGTGAAAGAGCTAGGTCCCCTGAACACAATGTAAGTTCTTGATTTCATCATTCTAAGAGCAACATGCTAATTGCCGGTTTTCAGGATCGCCAACGCCGGCATCGCGCAAGTCAAACCCCTCCTCGACCTTACCGAAGAAGACTTCCTCAACATGTTCCGCGTCAACGTCTTCGGCGTGCAAAACTGCTACCAGACCGCCGCCAAGCAACTCATCGCCCAGGGCAACTGCACGCCCTCCTCCCCGGGCAAGCTCATCGGGTGCTCGTCCATCGTCGGGTTCCGCCCCTTCGCGCTGCTCTCGCACTACTCCGCCTCGAAGTGGGCCGTCCGCGGGCTGACGCAGGCGTCGGCGATGGAGTACGCGGAGCACAACATCACGGTGAACGCGTACGCGCCGGGCATCGTGGGCACGGCGATGTGGGACCTGATTGACGAGAAGCTGGGCGAGAAGACGGGCGCGAAGAAGGGGGACACGATCAAGAAGTTTACGAACGATTTGATTGCGCTGAAGAGGACGAGCGTGCCGGAGGACGTGTCTAAGTTTGTGAGCTTTTTGGCGGGGCCGGATAGTGATTATGTGACGGGGCAGACGCAGATTGTGGATGGAGGGATTAACTTCAGCTGAGTATATTCAATGTTATCTGTATTGCCGTGACTTTCTGGCAGATGGGATTATTACTACGATGGAATTGTGTAGGAGACTCCTTCGACTCCCATCAGATGCTGTATCTAAACTGCTTATCCTCCTTGTCAGTCAAATCATTCACCGGAGCACCCGCGTCATCCAACACGACATCCTCAGAGTACTCCGCGCCCTGGCCGCTGCTCGCCGCCGCCTCCCTCTCCGCATTGTCCCTGGAACAAAGCCACCGGTATGCCACAATGACCGTGAACAGCAAACACCACGTAACAATAGCCGTGACCACGCCCTTGAAGTAGCGCGGCTTCTCGGTCCACAGCTGCGGCGCGCCGATGCAGCCCGCGCAGTAGCCGATGAAGAACATTGCGTTGACGATCGCGCGCTTCGTGTTGCCCTTGACGTTGGAGGCTGTGAGGGAGAGGAGGATCGACCAGACGGCGGTGATGCAGGATGCCTGGAACATTGCGCATTAGTCTTGAGAGGATGAAAGGGATGGGGATTGACGTACCAGCCAGGATGCTCCGATCATGCCCCAGCCGGCGTCGGTGGAGAGCTTCAGGAGGAGGATGTTGCCGGCCAAAGGGGGCAGGATGAGCACGAGGGCGACGAGGGTGCGGTGCCTGGGGAACATCATGCAGCCGCAGACTCCGATCCACAACATGCCGATCTGGACGGCGCCGGAGGGGGCAGTGTAGAGCATGGTTTCGTATTTGTTGTAGCCGATGGTGTTGATGACCAAGGACGCGAACTGGTTGCAGCCAAGTCAGCACAAAATACAACTTGGAAGATAATAGTCGGGGAGATGACTAACCGTCAAGACGGGCGACTGCATCGTCACCAGAACACCAAACCAAAACACAAACCATGTCTTGATATCCAACATCGCCTCCTTGAGCTGTCTCAGCGAGAACGACGTCTTATCGCCGCCCTCGCGGTCTTTGGCCATGCGCATGGAGAGCACCTGCTTCTGGCGCGGGGTAAGGAACCACGCGTCCTTCGGACCGTTGGGCATGAAGAGGTAGAAGACGACGCCCGAGGCGGAGGTGATGGCGCCGCAGACGAGGAAGAGCGTGCGCCAGGGCGCGAGGGAGAGGGCCGTGTTCTTGGCGATGCCGTACATCAGGAGGCAACCGCAGATCTGGGCGAGGCCGTTCATGGTGATCCAAAGACTGCGCAGAGTTAGGTTAGTCCAAATTGAATTGTAGATATGCTCGAGGTTTGGGCTTACGCAGTTCGCAGGGCGTGCTCGTCCTTGCGGTACCAGATGCTGGTGATGGTGATGAAGGCGGGGGAGACGGCGCCCTCTGCGAAGCCGAGGAGGAAGCGGACGGCGGCGAAGCCGGAGTAGTTCTGCGGAGCGGCGAGGCACATGCAGACGATGCCCCAGATGACTCTGGTAGCGGAGTTTTGTCAGTGATGGCCATGGTGGCAGACTATGGGTGGACTTACACGGTGACTCCCACGAACTTGGTCAAATGCAGCCTGCTCATGAGGTAGATGAATGGATATTCAGACACCAGTTGGCCTGCGCGTTGAGATGTCAGCGATGGCAGCTTCCTGTGAAGACAATGCTTTGGCTTGACTTACCGACGTAGAAGATAGATGAGCACCAAGAATACTGCGTGCTGGTCATGTTCAAGTCCGTAATCAGGCCGAAGACCTACGTTGGTCAGTTACGGAGTTCATCACGGGGAAGACTAGCCAACTTACGCTTGCATAACTGAGACTTTGCTTGTCCAGGTACTGCAGGAAGAAGACCACACACATCTGTCGATCCAAGTTAGCTCAATTGTTCACAGTTACAAGACACAACACAAGGGTCAACCAACCATGGGCAGAATAGTGCAGTCAATCTTTCTCAGAACCGCCCTCTCCTCTTCCTCGGTGTAAGACTCGCTCAACTCCAAAATCTGGCCATTCTTCTCCTCAGCGTCCTCCGGCTGCGGCCCATCGTTGGTCTTGGTCTCAATGGAAGAAGTCATCCTGAGTCGCGTGAGGGGGGTGGTTGGTTCTCAGTGGAAGATCCAAAGACCGCAGCCAACGCCCCTTCACAAACTTGCAGATCCGCCCGCCCTTTAAAAGAAGAAACGAGGGAGGGAGAAAGGAAAAAACGTGGTTGACAATGCTCCACCGGTGCATATCTCGAATCCCGGGGTAAGTGTGCCCATTATTTTCCCCGCACCCAAGAGGCAAGCATTATCAGAGAGTCATGTCAATCAAAGACTGATTCCTGCGATACCTCTGCTAGCGTTGATAGGGGTGATACGCGGGGTGGGGCGGGCCATGTTGCCGATGGTTGTGGCAGATATCCGATGCCGGATATCGGCAACATGGTCTTTGAGTGTGACCATGTTCCCGATGATAGGATTGTGTGTTGATTTCCGATGCTTGTTGTTGCATTGTCTTTCTCACCAAAATTGGGTGTTGTTGGGGGATGGCGTTAACCGTCTGATGAAGCCAATCAGATAAATATTTCTGTTTTCTGGAAGTGTTGGCTGTGTGTTCGGATGACTGAGCGTTTGCACATCCTAAATCCCAAGTCCAGTCCTTTCAGCTTTCTTCCCCTCATTCGACTTCTTCGAGACTCACTCTTCTGGACCAACACCATCCAGAGAATAATCACGAAACCTTCACAATGGTCACCGAAGCCGACCTCAAGCCCTGGCTCAAAGCCCCAACGCGGCGCTACATCCTCACCAACGCAACCATAGTCGACGTCACCGACGGCTCCCTCCACCCCAACGCCGCCGTCCGCCTCAAAGACGGCCTCATCGACGCCATCCTCCCCTCCGACCCCTCCACCGTCTCCGCCGCCGTCGCCGATGGCTTCGCCGAAGTCGACTGCGCCGGCAAGTTCCTCTGCCCAGGCCTCATCGACGCCCACGTCCACGTCATGGCCGTCCCGGGCTTCGACTCCCTCGCCGCCGCCTTCAGCAACCCCAACGACGTCTCGCTGCTCCGCCAGCCGTACGTCTGCGCCCAGATGCTGCACCGCGGCTTCACCAGCATCCGCGACTGCGGCGGCGCCCTGCTAGCCCTGAAGGAGGCCATCAACGACGGCGTGTTCCCCGGCCCGAGGCTGTTCATCGCAGGCCACGCGCTGTCTCAAGCCGGCGGACACGGGGATGTCCGGCGCGGGCCGCATGACCACAGCGAGTGCTGCGGCGGGTCGACGACCGGCTTGGGGAGGTTGTGCAACGGCGTGCCGGAGTGCATGACCGCCGTGAGGGAGGAGATCCGCACCGGCGCGGACTTTATCAAGATCATGGGCTCCGGCGGCGTGTCATCCCCGACGGACAAGATCGACCACCTCCAGTTCACGGGCGCCGAGATCCGCGCGATGGTGGAGTGCGCAGCGAACGCGGGGACGTACGTCACCGCGCACGCGTACACGACCAAGGCGATCCGGCACTGCATCGACAACGGGGTGCGGGGCATCGAGCACGGCAACTTCGTGGATGTGCCGACGGCGAAGCTGATGGCCGAGAAGGGCGTGTACCTCACCCCGACGCTGATCACGTACGCGCAGATGGCGTCGGAGAAGTGGAAGGGCTATCTCCCGCCCGAGTCGCGGGTCAAGA